GACAATAACAAGGGTTTGCACCTGATTTCACCTGTGTATTATTGTTCTGAATACCTATGACTGATTTTTCAAGGCGTCTTAACATTTCTAAATAATATATTTTTCCCCCAATTTCTGTGTAATGCCTTGGTCTCTTCTCACACTTCTTTCATCAGCACTTGAATTCATACATCTCAGTCATACAACTCAAGCACCTTGTGTTAAATACAATGCTTGCCCCAGACAGAAGGTCGGGCCGGTGTTTTCCCGCAGGTCACTCCGGCATTCCCACATCCCTCCTCTCCCGCCGGCGCTCCTCAGGCGCGGCGCTTCACCGCTGCACCACCAGAGAGCGCTGCCTGAATGCCTTTGAAAGATTTTTATGTCAAAACTAAATTTAAAAATAAAATAAAATCCACCTTGAAAACCGTATTATTTAGAAAAGGTGCTAGATGAACTTGTGACAGAAAGAAAGATGAATTATTGAAAGACTGCTATGCAATGCAAAGCCACAGATCTTTGCACTGCTTCTTTCCAGTCTCATCCAATCTTGTACAGTCTGGTACAACAGTACAAATTAAGCTTTGTTGATTTAATCAAACAAAGCCATCTTGAATCAGAGTGCTTATGTCAGCTATTGAGATTCACGGTACAACTCTGATGGACTGCAGTCTGAGCAGAAAAGGCAGACTGGATTTTTTATAGCTAACTTAGAACACGTAGTGATTCATGGTACTGCTCAGGACAGAGCATAATATTTTACAAAGTTACAAAGCATTATTACAAAATTAGTGTCCATTAGTACAAATCCTAAGGCTCTGTTTCTTTAAAAAATTTCTCTGCTTTAACACTGATTCATCCTTAGGTTATCTTCTCTTTTTAATAGTGATTTCTATCCTAGTTTTGCTTTTCAGCACCTCCTTTTGTTTACAACAGAAGGTCTTTGCTTTCCCCCTAGTTCTGTCCAATTTCCATCACACATTATCATGCATCCTGACACATATGTTGCATGCATGGTAATGCACAAATGTGCATCTGCATTTCCCATTAAATGAGGCATTCAAAGGTTTTCTTGGGTCCAGACTTGTCCTTTTGAGACAATTCTCTGGAAAGGAAAAGCCAAAGTAAGCTCTTTAACTTAAACCCCAGCTTCTGATCCACAAGCTCTGGCCAGATTGGCCATGGGAAAGCTCAAGTATGATCTCACTTAGTTCTGGGACTGGCTTTTCCAAAGTACAGTACTCCACAAGCTCTGGCCAGATTGGCCATGGGAAAGCTCAAGTATGATCTCAGCTCTGGGACTGGCTTTTCCAAAGTACAGTATGCATCCTTAAAGCTAGAGCTGAGCTACAGTCAGGCACAGCAAGGCACAGCAAGGCACAGCAGGACTGCGCTGGGCTAGAGGGCTGCTGCACAGTATCCTAAAGCAAACACAGAGACAGATCTGCTCACTGATTAAACCTGGAAATCTTGGACCTTGACGATCAAAGTACAAATAGAATCAAAGTATAAATAAAATACCCAATATTCACAGATTTTATCATGGAAAAGATAAAATTCGAGAGGTCTGACTTGCTTTCACAGCATTGTAGCTTGTCAGTCCTAGTCACAGATAACTTCCCATCAAATTACCAAAACTCAAGGTAGGCCACAGGCCTCACATGATGCCTATGTACCACTCTTTAAGACATACCCATTTGACTCCATAATGACAAACCTAAGTCAATATGGCTATATAAAGTGCTCTCTTATAAGTTTGTCAGTGAAGAATTAGTCAATGCAATCAGTGGCACCCAGAGGAATTTTGGTTCACCCTACAGTAGGCACTTAACATTTGGTATCACACACAGACAGGCTCATGAGTCTCATGAGCCTGACTGTGAGAGAATTACCCTCTTCCCTCACTGTTTAAAAAAGGTAATTTTCAGAAAGCTTAATGCAGAGATTTACACTGTCAGACACACACAGAACCCAGCCCAGCCTCTGGAGCTCCACCTCCATTTTGCCATTTCATTCCAACCTACATCCAGAAAGAGCAGAGAGCTTATTTTTCTTTTTTCTCTAACAGTCAAAATAACCTTAGAGTTTGAAAAGCTAGCTGAACAGATGGATCACAGGTCTCAGTAGTGTTCTTTGCCAGAACTGGGCTACATTTGTGGCATAGGATGAGGTTACCCTGCTCAGGAGGTGAGTATGGCAGACCATTTGTTTCCCCATGAACAAACATCTGTTGAAGATGATAAACTGATGAAGTGCACATGACTTCAATTGTTTTAGAAAGCCAGATCTTCTCTTGTACACAGGTCTTACTCTTTAAGGAATGGATTTCTGACTAACCTATTTGCAGTGACAGTCTGTCAAGGCAGAATGTGAGAACATCTCATTTTATTGATGAAGTAGTTTCTACTTTGCAAAAGAAACAACGCTTCTGACATTGGACAGCAAAGCCAGAAAGATCACAGAATTTCTCCTCCTTGAAGCCCTCAGTTTCTGAGGGGACCCAGATCAGAGGAGTATTTCCCTTTTCTGAGATTTTACCTCCTGGCCCATTAAAGAGCAGAACAGTAAGCTGGACATGAGGCAGGCATCAGCAGAGCCTGAATGTGCAGGCTGTTTTCCTGTCTGAAAAGGTGGATTGCAGGCAGTCATACAGAGCTCAGTCCACTGCTGCACAGCAGTGAGGAACCCCTCCTGGGCAGAGGCTAGGCCATGGCTTTTCTGTTTTCTCCTGGGTGCACCTTTAGCAAGCAGCAGGTCTGCAGTGCTTTGGAGGGTCCAACTATTGAAGGCTACATGGGCTGCCACTCCTGTGGTGATGTGAAAGCCTCTGCACAAGGAAAGAAATGTCCCAGAGAACTCTCAAAAAATATTTGGCATGGTCTAGATGTCTTAATCAACTCCAGAATGGAAAAAACCAGCACTAGTAAAATGTCTCTCAATGCCTACAAATACCTGAATTCAAGTTAAATTATAGCAGGAAGAAGGGGAAAATAAAGAGCATGATTTTTTTTTCTCAGGCTTCGGAGCCAAGATCTGTGTGTTTTTGAAGTCATCCTGCAAGGAAGGAAAGAAAAGGCTGAAGCTGACTGTGACCTAAATAAAGCAAAAGAATTAGGTACTGGTGATCAAAGGATTGAATGATGCATATACACATCTCCCTAAATAATAGAGTTGGTGGGGGAAATGACATGTCATTATTCCTCTGAAATAAAGCAAATTACCTGCTCTGAAAAGAGGAGTTAATCTGTTTTTATACAGTGAAGAATAATGCCACACTATTTCTTCTAAAATTAGCAGATGACAAGCTGAGACTTCAGTGCACATAGCATCTGGCTCTCTGGCACCACATGGACTTACCAGAGGGAACCCTTCCTGTTCCAGTTTTATTGGGTTTGGTGGGCAATAGCCATTACCACAAAGAACACCCACTGAGCTCCAGAACAGCAGTAGGTTTAAAGTACCTCAGCGTTTCTTTCTTGCTCCCAAGAGAAGCAAATGCAGAAAACCTGACAAGGATATTTAGAAAAAACTGAAGAACTTTGAATGGAGTCAAAGTCCTCTTTTCACCTATCTTTCCAGGCAGCTGAACATTTCATTAGTTGTCTTCCAAACAAGAAGCAAGCATGGGACAATCTCATCCTAAAATTCTGCATTTTGATATTTCCAGTATTTAAGACAGGCAGTGAAAAGTGAATTGCAAATGCTGAAGTCAGACTCAACCAAGTAAACAAGTTTTTTGTTTTCTGTTCTCAAACTCTAAGGCTACAGATGCTAAATAACTGAGCCCATAACCATAGTAATGGCTGAACAACTTATCTTGAAAAGATAATGGCTATATTTTATCATATGAATGCATAGAAACAGTGTAGAGACTTCTTCTCTGAGCTGCTCTCCTGAGGAATCTCTCTCTTCTGTTCATGTTTAGACTGACAGTATAAAGGGCTCAGCATCCATAAAGATGCTTGGGAGATTGGAAACCTGAGAATTCATTTCCATCAGACCTGAGAGACCAAAATCACAGTGCTTATTTACCCCCTAGAGAATTCCAGTTAAATAGCCTCTCAATGGAATAACCAAACTTTCCCAAATCTCCTTTACTGATGCACAGCCATAACCATATCTAAGTTATATGCAGAGAATTCCCCAGCAGCAGATTGGAAAGGACTTCTCTGAAGGAGGCCTGGTAAAATTCTACACTATGTTCTGCAGAAAGTTACTCAGTTGTTGAACTTTTCTTGATCCTTCATTGTAAATAGCAAATATTATGGTCAAGACTGCTCTGAGTTTTTCCTCTTCTATCTGCTTTGTTCTAGTGCATAGACAACATCAGGCTAATGTACTGTTTTGCATTCAGTTTAAATGGTTCCACTGACCTGCAATCAGCATTTTGCAGTACAATGGCAGATCAGCAAGCCCCTGCCACTCTGTGTATCTACTTATCAACAAGAGAGCCAAACAGCCAACAAACACCTCCATGAGCATACATGCCAGCACAATGTCAGCAGACAGAAAGAAAGAAAGAAAGAAAGAAAGACTGTCCCCATCAAAGTATGCAAACCTCCTTTTTCAGTACATGAACCTGAGCTGCAATTTCTCCCTAAGCTTCACCTACAGCAGGGGGACACAATTACCCTGACCAAACAACTGAGGGCAACCTTCCAACCCTGCCTCTTTACAAAGCACAGCATTTATAACTTCCTTGAGAAAGCATTAAAAAATGACTAAAGCACAATTTTAATTATATTCATAATGATTTATTTTAAAAAATGTTCCCATTAAACTGCTATCTAAGCACAACCAATTGTAAGTCAGAAGCAGTTTGGTTCCACCTGCATTTAAAGTGATTTTTGTAATTATTCACATCAGAACAGCCATTAATCACATAAACAATAGCTGGCTTGCAGAAAACACATGACAAACAGCTATGTCATGACTTACTATTATTTTTATTATATTATTTAACTTAGAATGAAAATTTTCTATTAATATTTAAAAAACAAAACCAAAACCCTTAGTCTTACCTTCAGATTGATGTGTGGCCAGAGGTGTCTGTGTCTCCTTGGAGTATGATACCACCTCCCGAGGTAAGAAATCGACCTGGGTAATCTTTGACACCCCTAGTTTGTGCAGTCTGCGTCTAAGGTAAAATACACAACATCGAAAGGTTAGTCATGGTAAATGTAAATCAGCAGCAGGAACAAATGTTTGCTGTTATGAACAGGACAAAAATACTTCAGTGTTTGTAAAGGTGAAACACAACACAATATGCATGAGAAGTACCTCACATCAGTGAAGAAAATTAACCTGGGAACCATTTGCTGTAATAAAGTCCAGTTGTTGAACCTCTAGACCATGCTGCTGAGAGGGATTTTCAATGAGAAATGGCCTGATTGTGTCCCTCTTAACATGCAACAAAATTCTCTTTCATACAAGCATTACTATGATGTTCTGTCTGCTCAAAGGAGCTCGTCCTCAGCCTGGGATACACAGCTGTGGAAAGGGTACCATGGGTTTAAACCAGGATGAATTAAACTGCTAAATGTTCAGTTAGGAGCAATAACAGCATCTTTAGCTGGCAAGATGTGGAATTTCCATAAAGAAGGAAATTCTGCCTTCCACAGGAGCAATAGTGGCCTTGAAGTAGGTTTATGATTAGTGGAGTCCTAATGCAAGGGCTGGAGGAGAGCTAAAACACAACTAGAACAGGGCAAGTATAGCCTTCTATTTTGTCTACTTCCCTTGCTTTAAATAAACCATATGAAATAGATCATTGAAGCAAACTAACTGTCAGTGGGTAAGGGAAAAAGAGAGGCAGCTGAGCATGGTCATGAGCATGCTCATGTGTGCACAGTTCACTCAGCAGCAGGGGGAAAAATCAGTTTATTTCCTGAATATTAGCTGACTTTCTGCAGGGAGCAAATAATATAAAAACAGTTACTTGGAAGTGTTTTACCAGAAAAAAAGCCAACTTTCAGCAGATAAATAATGCAAACAAAACCAAATGAACTAAATAAGGCCAGTTACCTAAATCAACAAGTGTGAGCACGCTTGTGCATTTATGGGGAAATAAATTCCTGGAAACAATGTTTGTCAACTTGCCACATTATTGAAGAGAACAATTTGGAAAAATAGCAAATTCTTACATATTATCCATATCCACTTCATTTTCCAGGTTGTCAGAAGAACAGAAGTCATAGGGGTTTTGACCTAATTAATTTACAGTGGTTTAGGTATTCAATCAAGATTCATGTCTGAAAGGAAATGGGAGCCTAAAAAGGAAACTGTCATCATTGGATAACACCTACTGAACTTTTCAGCTGCATCAGCCACACTTTTTTTCAAATCTATTCTACTGCCTGGGTTGTTATTAAACTGACTGCAATTCGATTCAGCAGGTAATCAGTACAAATCATCTGTATTGTGTAACAAACTTCTAGAGCAGAAACAGTTGTTGTAGCTCTGAGTCCTTCCACTTTTCAAAGAAGAAAAATTAACAAGTCTCCCTCCCTCCAACCATCTCTGACATTGCCAATATGAACAAAACCTACAATTTTCTAAAAGCTCTACAGAAAAACTTCTACCTCATTACTGGGGCCGGAAAAGTTTCTTCAGCCGGCAAAAATTTTAGTGGTTTTATATTTTGTAGCTGCTTTAACTTACGGTCTCCGTGAATTCAATCTTTAATAAATATTTCACCCCAGCAAACTCTCATGTGCTTTTTTCCTCCCTCAGCCCAGCAATCTCTTCTGCCTTCTTGGTCAGTTTGATTTCTCTATGCAACCAGTCCCCTGCTGCCCCAGGCTCTCTTTCCATTTACTGAGGTTCTTTGCATTGAAAGAGTCTCTTGACAGGGATCTTGGTTAAGTATAATTCCTAATTAATTGTGTGTATAATCTGGAGCTAATTAGAACCTCACCTAATTCTAAAACAGTTTCACATGAGGCCACTCTGTGTCTCCTGGACTGCCCAAGGATAGGGAATGTGACCCTAAAGGAGAGTTGGATTTAACTGCTAGTTGGGTGGATTGAACCTCTGCCCACTGTGTCCCAGAAGTGAGCTACTTCCCACGGCACTGTGCTGAGACAATGCATGGAATTCTTAATCTGAAGCACTTCCAATTCAGTAGCTGCTGGTGCCTCTACAAAGGCCTTGTGCCACCCATATCCTGTAAGTACTGGTGAAGACTGGGAGGACCTTCCTCATCTGAAGGAATGTGATTTACTCATTGCTGTTTGTCTGTGTCAAGCCACCTCTAAGTGTTCTCATGTTACTAAAAGTTGGCCTAGACTTTGCCCAAGCACTCAGGGACAGCTGGAGCATCCTTTCAATACCTGGACTTTACCAAATATGTGCTGTAATGTTCTAGTCTCTAGATCCTTTTAGGGCGACACTAAATGGTCTATTGTTTTCCCATCTCCATTTTTCATCTGAGGTACTAATAATTCTCATAAATTCAATAAATATTCATCTTAGAGAACACATAAGGTTTGAAGGATTCCTTTCCAAACTGCTGATGGGAAAGGAATCTTCTCAGTAGGAGGATAGTGACGAAAACCCATGCATTAAAACTGATTCTTCTGTCCATAGGTATCATAAGAAAGATGTATCTGCTAGAAGTGTTTTGAGACACACATAATTTAATTGCTGACTGCAGGATTTCTTTTGCATTGGTTCTGTTGGGTTTTTTTGCTCTATTCTTAGGACACCAGGGGAAAGTTTAACTCTGCCTGGGGTTTGAAGACAGTTTTCTTTCAAAAGGGACAGGACTTCCATTAAAATGTACACCTGTGGATTTGCTCTTTGGCAAGCTTCTTTTCTGTCTTTGCACTGGCTGCTACTAATTGATTGAAGTCTCTGTATACAGAGTTATCTTTACATGAGTCAGATAAAGGAACTTGCTTTGCACAGCTGTTTCTCAAACAGCTCCTAGGAGTCCTCATATTTTAATTCAAATTTCTGTAAAAAAACCAGCTGGGATTTCTATAAAGTTTCTGTTGGTTAAAATAGCTCAGAAAACTCTACCTCTTTTTGGTACAGCCCAGGTAAAGTTGTAGATGTGTGACCTATTTAAAGTCACACTCGTGTAAACTACAAACATTCTAGGAGTTCTAGATATGGAGAAATATTTCTGTTTAGAAAACTCTCTGGACACGTTGCTTCTGGATCTTTCCTGATGAATAGACCTAACACACCTAACTACAGCTGGGAGCACTGTCAATCAGCAGCTAAAGGGAGCTGTTATTTTTCTTACAGAATGCTGAGTGAAGTAACACATGAACAAGTAAAAGCGCAAGAGAGTTGCCTGGAGACTCAAAACAGGCAACACTGTAAGTTAGTTGGTAGAACAAATTTTTCAGAGTAGTGATTTGGTTTTACCTAAGACTCATGCTCTGAAGAACTCGAGGTACTGCTACCCACCCTTTTAGAGGAACAGGTTATCCTAAATACCTCTGCAGGGAAGCGTTTCTACATAATTTACATTAACTTTTTTTTTTTTCACTTTTTGGGCTAAAGAAGTTCCATCCCAAACTATAAAATATTAATTTTAGCTCTATTAGAATTTTTTTAAAAGCTTAATAGGCCTGAACTCAACTAAGATGGCACTTATTCTTGGGCAACGATCATACCTAAGTGTACAATTTTAAACACATACACAGATCCAGAGGGACAAGGGGATATTGTTACTGCATGTGGAAACGGCGTAACTACAGCGAGCAGAAAGGAGAGGAAAAGTATCTTGCAAATGATTCAGAGAGAACAGTCTGAATCAACAGGTACAAACAAGATCAGTGTAACTATACATGCACATATATACCACAATAATAACATTTCATTTGAAATGAAATAGTTATTTGTATTGTGTTCCAGGCAACAGAAATTGCAATTTATCTTTTCATAAGCATGTTTAAATAGCTGGGGTTTTTCCTCACAAATACGACTTTGCTGAAGCTTCTTATTTATGAAACCAAAAAAAAAAAGGAAACTTACGGTCATTTTGAGTCAAAAAAGCAAATGAAAATCACACACAACCAGCTCAATTAGGAAGCATTTTCAACATAATTACTGCAAAGAAATGATAACAAAAAGAGCTGACATATACCCAAGTTCAGAGTCAGACTGGAGTTGCAGCACTGAGGGGTCTGTGTCCCATTGCAAGGTCCTAGGGTGGTAATCAGCCGTGCAGCACGAAGGGGAGGGAAAAAAAAGAACACACAGAATTAACTGAAAGGATGAACAAAACCCCACCTCCTTAGTTACATGCTCTATGTAGTACATTCAACCTCCAGGTGCAAGCAACAGCCACCATATGTCAAACAAGGTTTGTATGTCAAACTGAGACAGGGCAGGCAATTTAATAAAATCACATATTGTTGATAAACAGAGGAAAGAAGCTGGATTTTCCATCATTTTATTGATTAACTAAACATGGGGTTGGGGTTTTTTTCCTTTTCCTGAAAAATGCTAACTCTTTAACTTATGCTGATGGATTCACAATAATTTGTAAAATCTGCAGGAAAAATTTATTTATGTTTTTATGATAAGGTAGAATGAGCACTTGCCATGAACTGCACTGAAGAGTTTATTCATTCCCACATTCCTGAGACAGACAGCAATCCATCCTGTACAACACAGCTCTGGGCAGGAGCATCACGTAGTGCACATGACAACAAATGGACTCTGATATCAGCTCTGACACTCTCTGAGGGCCTCTGGGACAAACAAACAAACCCTTTTTCTTTTCCTCCTGATAAAATTCCTGGGGAACAGGCTAATAATACATCTGAGAAAAACAGATCTATGACAATCTCTCGGAGGAGGCTATCCCCAAATGTACAAACATTCCAGAGGTGTGGTCTGAAGGGAAGGTGTTGCTCTTTGCACTGCAGTGCAGTTTCCCATGTGACCAGCTCTAAAACACCTTGCAAACACTCACAGAGCCTTTAAAGTTTCTTGTGAAATACTCAGAATCCTTCAATTTAGAAATGCAAAAACTGACATATCTAGGCCAACATTTTCAAAAATTCCTGCTCCTTCCCTGTCTCTTAATTTTACTTTATTTTTCTACACTCAGGAAGACACATCTTACACACAAGAAAACTGCCAGAATCCATGACAGAATCAGGAGCCCACAACTGGCTCCTCAGCACCTTTTCTTGTAGTATGAATACTAGATTATGCACTACTCTCACTAGCAGAGGCTAGCGCAAAGAAAAGTGCTCCTTCCCTAAGCAAGCAAGTTTTCATGAAGAAATGCTGGAAAATGATACTTGTCAAAATTAACCCCCCTCCACAATTTCTTCTGAATCTTGAGGATATAGAGATCATAATATTACCAGGTTCAGCCAAAACTAGCCATATAATCAGCTGTGGTCAATATACATAAGTCTTTCTGGAACAATAGCAACCTCTGCCAATGAGTCACTCATATAAACTAACAAGTTTATATTGGTCCAGAAATAGATCTGTTAAAGCCAAATAATTATTCTATCTCCTGTCTTTAGTAAACTCACCCATTCTATTACCAAAGTTAACTCACTTTCTGGACAGACAGACAAGGACATGTGCTGCACTCTTGTCATTTCACAATGAAAAAGAATCAATCTCAATACCCTGTGCATACAAAAAGAATGAAAAACTATTTCATTTAATGCAAAGCTGCTTTCTCGTCCAACATAAGGGTACTCATTTCCCTCAACTTATGATCCATAGTAATATTTATCAGGATAAAAGAATTTATACTGATAAAGAAAGGCTTCTCCAAAACTAAACCGTATTGCAAAAGGTCGGAGATAAAATAATACAGCAAGAAATAACAGATTTTTCCCTTGTAACTTGACTGCAGTGTAAGTGCAGTGGAAAATGGACATAAGATCTGAATGCCTGATGCAAGGCAAAGGCATCAATGACTAATGCATTATAGATACTCCATTAAAAATTCTATCTGTGTGAAGATTGCTCTTGTAATGTCACCAAGGTCAGTTGCATATATTAGGACTAGCAATATAGGTGCCAGTTTCTAATTTTACTGCTGCCTAGGGGCTACTCATACATTCATGTCCAGGTTTTCCAAACTCTTAAAAGAAAATAGACATAAGTCATTTGAGTTTCCTCCCCCAACATTCACTTTCAAACCTACAGAATTTGTAGGGGAATAAAGGCTATTTCATCAGAAAAACCACTATTATCATTTGATTAAAGCAAGAGCTTGCAACAGGTCTCTAGAAGTACAGTTCCTATGTTCCACCTCCAAGAATCCAGGACAGGTCACAAGAGAGAGTACCTTTACCTGGTACCTTCATAAAAATGCCAAAAAAAAAATAAAAATTAGAGATCTCCCACACTCAAGACAGCACTCAAATCCCAAAATTATGAGAAGAGCAACTGTTTTGGTTTGGGCCATCACATGCAGACATGTATAGAGACACTCCACCCTTAAGTATTTATTATCTAGATTCTCACACACAGCCTTCACCGCTCTGGACACTGACACCTACTTTTAATACCAATTCTCCTTGACTCCTAATTATATCTGTTTTCAACAGTTTTAATGCATCAGCTAAACATTTCCCAGATTTGTGCTCCACTGTGCATCCCTGTGTTACCACTTGCACTAGTGTGAGAAAGAGACGAGGAAGCAATCTGCTGAGTTCTCTCCAGCTTGGCTGAGCAATGCCATCACAGAAAACGAGACTGCAGGTAACAAATCTTCAGGTTTCAAGTCTTTTGCCCTGGGAGACAGAACACAAGCGGCTACACTAGGGTAGTAAAGGCTGGAGAGCACAGGGAGTGACTCTGTGCTTCAAGGAACACTATTGATTTGTTCCTTGTCTCTTCCTGGCACCTGAAGAATGTCATCAGATCAAAATGAAAGTGAGTGAACAGTAAAGATGTAATCTGGACCTGCAATTTAGCCAGTTTCCATGGCAATAACATCAAAAAAGAAAGAAATACATTCTTTGAGGTTTAGCAACCCAAAAATGATGTTGAATAGCCTGTGCTGTCATCCTGACTAGAAAATTAAAGCTAATCTGTTTGTGATGAACAGACGTTGCGTATGACATTCCTTGATCATACGGATGAGCACTGTAGTTACACTTGTTCTCCTCTGGACACTCCTCGCTGGGGATTTTGAAATTCAACTGCATCTCTGCAGAAAAGCAGTTGCCAATCTTTTTCCAGCTAGTTCATGAGTTCCTCCTCCAGACCCTTCTTCATGAGGAAAAGGACTAGGTGCTCTTGCTCTTCTTTTTTCTTTCTTACTTTATAAAAGAAAACTGCAATGGCTTGACTTCAATTCACCAGAGACAGAGGCAGAGAAGGTAATGTCACAGACCCTGAGGAGAAGTGCATGGCCTAGGAGTCACCAATCAGGCTGAGGTGCTCCCACTCTGGATGTTTCAGAGAGCACAAATTGCTCAAGGTTCCCCTAAATGGATTCAAAGGACTTTGTCAAGGCCTACACAGAAGAGATAAAAAACATTTTAGTTGAACATTTTTGTGGGGAAAAGACAGGAGCATTAGACCAAGCAGACTAAAGTAGTGGTCCCTAGCAGTCTCCAGTCCTGCAGACTCCTCCCTTGGGTGAAGGGAGTGACACAGGCGTTGCAAGGACCCCTGGAAACTCACTGAACAGCACAGTGAGGGCTAAGCCAGATCGGTCTGTTTCCCCCACCCAGACAGCACTGACACTGTTTTAATCAGAGCCACCCAACGTTGTTTCAGAGCTGGGTGCTGTATCAGTCTCCCACATAGTGGCAAACAATAGCCCTGTGTCATGGTGCATCCCCCTTGGACATGTTCTGTGTACAGCAGCTGACCCTGGCTCACTGAAGGATAAAAAGCTGTATCACTAAATAACAGATTGTTCTAAAGCAGCACAAAGGGAAGGAGGGCTGTCAGATGTTGCACTAAGAAGACAAGGTACAAGTGTTATTTACCCTCTTTCAACTGATCTGCTTTCATTGTCTTCCTTTACATAGGCATCTTAATAACCTATTTTTTCTCAAATTTAGGACAGTATTAATGCTGGTGCTGTTTCAGCTCTAACTATTGAAGAAATAACAGATAATTTTGACACATCATCTTTTAATAACCTGAAGAAAGAAATCAACAAGAGGAAGAGGTCCAGATGTCATATATTTACTAAAGGATTGGATGGTAAAACAACACTTCTGAATTCAAGTCCAAAGCATTAGGAAGATATTCAGAGCACAGTTCTAAAAGAGAACTGTTACAAAATTTAAGGTGGGAGGAATTTGAACAGAAGCATTCCCTTTTCTGCAGCATTATTATTATTATTACCATGGAAAAACAGGCACTGCCATATGTTACAATGCTCTGTGTAACCTTACCTCCAGAAGATTTTATTCTGATTGCATAATGTCAACTATGTAGATTAAAAATGTGGAAAAGACTAAAACAAACTAAAAATAAAATAAAACACTTGAAACCTTTTGGAAAATTCCCAGCATCAGAATGCATCAATGAAGCATAGATTCTGACATCCAAAACTGTCTGGAATCCATGTGAACCCTTCAGCTGATTTAAGCAGCTTTGGGTCTGGCCTTAGCAGTCGTGTATGAAACACGTAAGGCATCAGTTCCAATACATATCCTTAGTAATCTGCCATCATAAAATGATATTTATTATCTGTAATCACAATCATATCACAACAGAACTTGGCTCTGGGAATGTGCACCAGTCCAACACTTTTCATGTGCAACATACTGACAGCTTAGTTGTGACTACTTTCCTGCAGCCAAAATCAAATCCTCCCTCATCTGTTGCTGATGCTGCAGAACATCTGTTCTGCATGATTTCTTTTCTCCCCCAACTCCCCTTTCCCAGGTCAAGAGCAGCCAGGCCTGAAAATCCATGCTTTTGGAAAAAGGGCTCCTCACAGGAATAACAGCAAAGTCGGCTTTCTCAAGGGCTTCTTGCAGGGCAGAATCCTCTTTGCAGCATTGCAAATTACACCTTCAGGCAGAACTGGAGGAAAGCAAACACCATATTTGGCATCTCCTGTCACCAAGAGCTGTTGTGCTCTCCAGACCAGGAGAAAACTGCACTGACAGTGTACTGAGACCTGAGGTATCTCCTGAACTGAGACACCCATATGTGTCCCTAAAGAAACACCATCAGATCTGACAGACCCCAAAC